AACCCTGAACCCAAAACCCTGAGCCCGAAACCCCAGCCGGCCCAGCCCCCCCCCCAAGTCCAGCCCAAATGCGAAATCAAAAGCCATCAAGACTTTCGGTCAAAACCCCGGACCTAAACCCTATACAATTTCTTTAAGCCCTAACCCTAAACCCTAAACCCTAAACCCTAAACCCTAAACCCTAAACCCTAAACCCTAAACCCTAAACCCTAAACCCTAAACCCTAAACCCTAAACCCTACACTAGGCCCTAAACCCCTGAACTGTACGGAGGGGAGGCGGCTCCGGCTCGCCAGACTTGCATGAAGCTGAGGTGCAGCTGATCGAAAAGATCGTAGAGGCTGGCCGAGAGCTATCAGGCTTTGGGTTAAGGGGTTTAGGGTTTAGGGTTTAGGGTTTAGGGTTTAGGGTTTAGGGGTGTAGGGGTTAGGGCTGTCTGGGTTAAGGATTGGGGTTTAGGGCTTGGGGTGTGCGGTTTAGGTTGTAGGGTTTGTGTCGTGTTTTCTGCTGAGGTTCGTGCTTTCAATGATTCCTCTGTTCGAAACTTTCTTGCCCTTCGTTGTCAAATTATGGTGATCATAGTTGCCTTACGCTCTACTGCAACTGACACTTTCAGATGAGGCGTCTATACTACACGGTTTCACACTAGTTCTACAAGAGCTCTACAAGCGTTCTTGAAGGTGTTATCAGGGCTTTAAAAGGTGTGCAGGCGTCCACGTATGGAACTGTCCCTTGTGACACGTTTGACCCGCTCCGTCATCTTTGTCAGTGTCAGCACGGAAACAACGAAAACATCGGAGGGCCATCCATGCCGAATTGCCTCTACACACCTCTAGCCAACCCGTGCCCACAACCTGTTACCTTCGTCCAGAAAGATACTGCGCAGACTTGTTTAGAATTGCCGGAGCTTATTGAACCTTAAATGTTGGATTCCAGGTGCCCAGTGCGTATTGCCAAGAAGGCATGACTCGGATGTAGGCCTGCGCCCAAACCACTTGGTCTGGGGATCGTGGCACTAGCCAAGACCTGCAACATCCGTGAGGTGCCCAAGGTGGAGGTCCAGGAGAAGTATGTAGACGTGCCGACCACCCTGTACCAGGATCACTACCAGGGCTGCGGAGTCGACGGGGTTAGTACGGAAGCCTGAATGATTACCACCACTCCTCAAGGTCCCTCATCAAGTACCCCCAAACATCTACTTTTGCACTAAGGCCCTTACATTATGGAGATCCTTCGAGTAGTGCTATCTTTTGCCCCCTGGTCTGGGCCCCTCGGCAAACTCAGATACATCTCGTTTGATTACCACTACTATCTTCAGGTTCCTTATTATGATCGTTGTAAAAACTACGATATCCCCAAAACCCTATTCTACTTGTTAAGGCCCTTAGAATACCATGCTTCCCACAATCTGAGCGGTATGAATCTAAGGCTCGAAGGGCGCTTCTTTGCAGTCTAGACGGGGTTTCCTTGCTTGGCGATAATATACGGGCCTTAATAATTAGAATAGGGTTGTGGGATCAATGATACTATAACTATAATAAGGAACCCCCAAAAGCCTATTCTAATTATTAAGGCCCTTACATTACCTATTCCACAGATCGGCCTTCTCAGGGACCTTGGCAAGGAACGGCATTTCCATGCATCCGGCGGCACTGACCTCTCAAGATGCAGCTTGTTGACAGAAGGTCGTCGAAGTTGAATGAGTTTATGCAGGTCTGAGCCCTACAAGACGACGGTCACACCGTTGCTGCTTGAGCTTTACGCCTCACCATCTTCACTGCTGCAGCGTTTGCATGCTCAACCTCCCGGGCCCTTATGAAGTCCCTCAGAGAACTTACGGCCCCAATAAGGGCCTTCTGGGGTTAGGGTGTAGGGCTTAGGGGCCCTGAAGGAAGGAGCCGTGCAAGGAACCCTTGAAATGGACCCTTACAGGAGCCCTCAACAGCTCCTCAAAAGACCCTTAAAGGGAACCTTAACAAGGGGACCCTTAAAGAACCTCTTTTCAGAAGGTCCTGAAATGGGGACCCTTCAGAGGATCCTGAAATGGGGACCCTTAACCCTAAACTCTAAACCCTAAACCCTAAACCCTTAAGGGAACCTACGGAGGCCGTTTAAGAAACTCTTAGTGGGACCCTTTAAGAGGACCTTAGAGGGCCCTGAAAGAGTGCCTCAAATGGAACTCGTCATGGGACCCTCAACAGGGGATCCTTAAAAGGGGCCCTTAAAGGGTGCTAGAGGGTTCTAGAATAGGGTCCCCTTACCCGAAACCCCCCGCCAAAACCCTAAACACCCTAAACCCCTAAACCCCTAAAGCCCCAGAACCTAACCCCCAAAAACTCTAAACCCGAAAGCCCCAAACCCTAAACCCCCCAAACCCCAAACTTGAAACCCTACACCCCTAAAGCCCTAAACCCTAAACCCCTAAACCCCTAAACCCCTAAAGCCCTAAACCCTAAACCCTACTAAAACCCCCTAGAGCCCTAAACCCTTAAACCCTAAACAAAAACCCTAAACCCTAAACCCCTAAACTCCTGAACTCTAAACCCTTAAAACCCCTAAAAAAACGTTTAAAACCCCCCCTTAAAGAGACCCTTGCAGCCTTCAGGAGAAGGTCGTGGAGGTGCCTCAGGTCCAAGTCGCTGAGGTCGCAGCTCGGCGCGGGGAGTTTTGGGGGTTCCTTAAAAGGGTTCCTTCTGCATAATGTAGGGTTTAGGGTTTAG